CATTGCGGAGAACTCGGCTGGGGGTGCGTGTGGTGGTGGTGGTTGCGCGGTGGCTGGGGAATTTTTGCGTGTTATCTTCCAGGCAGCATCTCTCCAAATGACCAAGTCGCTTTTTTCGATGCTGTGATAGAGGGGGAAGATGCCGTTAAATGTGGAAGGACGTTGAAAAAGGCCCGAGAAACATGTGCACCGTCTGGGCTTTTGGGTTAGTTCGGAATGCAATATCTCGTCCGTTAAGAACAGGTTCAGCAAACAGACTGGACCGACGCATCGGACGGCAGGCAAGGCTTGGCGAGTCGCGGCGACGACACTTTGACAATTCTGGAGACTTTCTCGTCTGTGATGGGTATTACCTTGACGGCCGCGGTTGGCTTTGGTTTGCTGCGACTGCGTACCTAGGTTCGGCGCAGTTAGTGGCGGTCCCAGAGGACCGGGTTTGACTCGACCCTGAAAAAAGGTTAGGGAAATGAAGAAAATTCCAGAAGGAATATACATGCAGTTTAAAGTGCGGAACATAACGAGATGCGGCCAATATTGCAACACTCGTTGACAATATTGACAATAAACGGTCGCCAAAATGTCCGACCGCGGATGGGAAACCCCATCATCTGTGCATCGCCGTGGAGACTGCCAAATCTCCCGCACAGTTATGCCGCGGCATCTCTCCATCCAAGTCCTGCACAAAGCCACAAACTGTGATAGAGACAACTGAATAGGAGAAATAGGGGCAGATTTAACTCTGGGCACTCGAGGCCATTTTATTTACCACATCAATTTGCTTCTGCTACTTCGCCTAACGCATCCGCACGGGTTGGCGGTATCAGATTGATCGGGATCCGTCTTCCTGGGAAAGATGTGAGGTTTCGCTGCGGAACGGGAACATGGGCAAGAAACCGCCGCCGCGCCCCGACTTCAGCTCCCAGCAGCTCCAGTTCCCAGCTCAAGCTCCAGCTTCTTGTCCCAGGCTCCCAGGGCCAGCATCACCCGGAGTGGCACCATGTCAATGCCCACCACGGAGACATGGGGAGGTTGTTTGGACTTTTGGAGCAAATCCAGTTTTCCCCCCTCCCGGCGGCCTGTCTGCTCCGCTCTCAGTGCCTCGTAAAGCGCGCCACACCGAGATTGAAGATGGGGATGGTCTGGAGATGAAGGCACAGTCACTGAGCCACACGCACAACCTGAAGCCTCCGTATCGCATCGCGCCCGCGGAATGACTGGAAGGATAAAAAAGTTGGCAGAGGGGGATCTCGGGAGCGCACCAATGGGCGACGATCCAAATGGCAACGACGCTTCCTTGTTGAGCGTCACCCAATACTAGTGATAAATATAGAAACGATCACCACAGGGGGGGCCAACGGATCTTAGGTTGGAGCTACGGCAGAATACCACTGCTTCGGTCTCGGGCAAAAAATGACGAGATTTTCGGGCTTCGTTACCAGAGACATGACATCCCACGGGCAGGACGGCACCTACGGGCAGCGCGGACGGCACCCAACCGATGGGATTTCTCAGCCTTCTTTTCCAGTTGCCTAGTGTGCTACCTCAGCTAGTATAGCGTACCGCGTACCGCCAGTACGGGCTGTGAATCAACAGGGCCGCATTTTGGTTCACTCTGCGCCCTAATGCCTTTCCGCTTCGGGTAGGCCGGAAGTCAATAGTTCACCGAAGGTTGGCCAATGAAGGAGGCATCCCCCATGGGTGTTGGCCAGCACCTCCGGGCTGATTAGTGGGCAGCGGACATGCCGATACGGCGATATTCTTCTAGACCGATTAGACGGGAGTTGGATCGATAATCGGTGAAGGAGCCTGCACTGTTCAGGGCTGAGCAGTGAGGGCAGGCTGAAGCACAGGGCACAGAGCAGGATACGAACGGTGGGAATAAGAAGAAAATATGAGTGCTGCTCGAACGTTGTGCTTTCTTCTCGGGGCTCGGGGTGGCTTGTTACCGGGAGATAGCTATGCACATGTGTCTATGCATGCAAACCGCTGCTGGCCTGTTTGGCCTGTGCCTGTGTGTTTGGCATGTTGGCACTGCAGGAACACCAGTCAGTGGCTGTGTGTCTTGTGTGTATGCACAAAGTCGCTCCACCAGGGCACCGTATTTTCTCTCATAGCCGCGTCATGCAAACCCATGATAGGGGGTGACTAAACAAGCTTCGGCATGCCTTGGCGAATTCATCGCGAAAGCAAGACGGGCCCTGCTAAGAGGAACTCCTGAATCTCCACTACGGGAGATGTTACAAGTGAACTTACGGGATGAGGTTGAAGACATGTCGATTCATGTTGTTGTACACTACATGGCGCATATGTGTGTCTGTTAGATTTGAGAACAAAAGAGCTGGCTACTGACTGGTGCGTTTGAGCAGAAATGAGGCTTGAGTTCAAACGAACCGAGACCAGCCTCCTTTGGCCAGTTTTTTGAGTTTCAGCTTGCAAGGACAGCACTTGCGCAGTTCCGCCAGCTGTTCGGACGAATACGAACATCAGACGAGCGAGGAACACTTGACAAGCACTGGACACCGCCCGCCGTTTGATTTCCTCTGTGCACTAGCCGCTGCGGCCTCTGTGCACTGGTTGACATGCACTAGAAACTTACTACGAAGTACCTAGTGTGGTGCTGGCCGGCTGCCTGTCTGTCTTGATTGCTAGCGCGGGATGCTCCATGTTCGGTTCCCTGGAAGCGAAGGGCCTTCGTGTTGCAGATTTGGATGATGGACGTGGCTGACGGTAAAATGAGCAGAGCAGCAGCAGAAGAGGCTGATTGATGGATGTGCGAAAGAGGACGGGCGTTGAAAGATAAGAGATGTTGGTTGATAATGATCCGACCTGGGCCTGATGCGTGGTATTGGACGGGAAAAAAGGAAGGTTGCAGTGTGACTCTGTAGCTCAATTGAGCGTTCTGCGCCGACGAAACAGGCAAAAACAGGCAAAAACAGGACAAGCAGACTGCCCGAATCAACTGAGACTCTGCCCGCTCCGCGTTGAGTTTACCTAGAGTACTTACCTGCACCGTTGCAAATCCAACGTCCGTCCTGTCCGTCCGTTTGTTTGCCACTTCGGCTCTGCAGTCTCTGCAGTCAAGTCTGCACCAAGCAAGCAAGCCCAAGCAAGCCCAAGCCTGTGAGGGGGAGGGCGGCCGGCACATCTGCCATTTTATTAGTGCACAAACCGTTCGAGCCGGGCTAATGCCGTGACGTCAAAAACGATGCGCTGTCCGTCACTTTCTACCGAGTCCTAACAGCAGAAGAGCCCACAATCACGCTCAGTCCGTGACCCGTCCCATCATCCCTCCTCATCCCATCCCATCACCCTTCACCATGATCCCATCCCATCCCATCCTGAGCCGTGTGCTGTGTCCGTGTGTGGTGGACCCCTCTCCTGACTCGCTTGTCTCCTTATCGAAGTCTTCCCGAAAATTCTTCCCACACTTTTTTTCTGCTGTGTACATCCACACACACATGGATCCATGTAGCGCGTATATGCTAAGCCTAGGCAAAGACACACTGCAAAAACAGCGAACAATGAGACAGACAATCGAAAAAAGGGGACCATGTCGCCAACGCGACCAACCAACGCAGGTTGCTTACCGTGCCATAAGACGCCATACGGTGTCGGCGGCTGGCAGCGGGCACAACACGAGAAATATGCAATGCAATGCACGAATGGCCTTGTCCACCGCCCCAGGCCACCGCAGGCAAGCGAGCCAAACCCCCAACCTCACCCCCAAGAATAGGCTCTCTAGCCGCGTTCTGGACCTCGCTTCTGCCTCTCGTGACTGGAACATGCTGATTGTTTCCATCAGTTCTATGCAGCACCTACGGCGATGCCCACTCGCCCTCGTTGAAGCTTTTGCTCGGCAGGCTTAATGCTGTCTTGGGATTTGCTTGAAGCTGGCTCTGGCGTGCCCGAGCACAAGCCAAAATCATCCCCCCCCCCAAGCACCCAAGCCCAACCATCCTGGACCATCATCCCTGGAGGATCCAGGATCGATTGGCTTCCCGGGAACCACCCTGGTCGGAAAATGTCCAACTTGTCGACTTTTGAGGCTCCACTCCCCTTGCCCGGGTCCGCTTCTTCCAAGCCGGGCACAACGAGCCTCGAACAGTGGCCCGCCGGCGTCAAGGCCCTCAAGGCAAAAAGCCAGACGAAGGACCGCCTTCTGGCCCTCCGAGGCCTCAGAACCTGGACTTGGGCCCCAAGTCCCGAAGATCTGCATTGTTGGCCAGTCCACCGCGGCGGACTGGGGGGGGGGGGCCCCTTTAGCACCTTAGGAAGGAGGATATTCATAGTACCCAATCGGCCAGCCTCCGGAACCCTGCTCTTTTCGACAGCCGAACGAAGGCCACCCGAGGGAAGAACGAGCAGGAGGGAAAGAAAAGGTCACCGCTATGATGCAGACATGAGTAAACCTCGAGCTCGTATCCTAGAATGGTGGGCTCCGCTGTCGACGGGCATGACGGGCTTTGGTGACCCTTTTCGTGAGGCGATGCCTGGTATACCTGCGGGTCTGCGTCTCTTTACCATGTATCCCACGTATCGATTCCCGCCCCCTTAGTTCAAAGATTTCTGTCTCCATCAAAGGATGTAGATGTCCCTCCCTCCCACCCCCCCTCTGACGTATCTTGGTCCTGGTTTTCTTGCTCTAGCTTCTGCTCTGCGTGTTTGTGTGGGAACTGGAGATCTTTACAATCGCTCAAGCCTCCTTTCCATACTTTCGTCTTTCGTTCAATCAAGCAAAACTAGCATCACTCGCTTTTGGCCGGTTTATGAGTATTGTTACATCGCTTTTCACTTTCGTTATCTGATTTTTATCGGTTTTTAGGCCCCCGTATCTCTCTGATTGTGTGTGTGTGTGTGTGTGGCCTCTCTGGCGTCATATCATCAGTTGGCTTGGATATTCACTCCCATACAACCAGAAGCAGTGGTCGGTCGCTTCAACCCACGCTCGCTTCGAGGAGCTCTCGGGCGTCCCTCACAACACCACATAACAAGCAGCCAAGATGTGGTTTGGGAGTTCGCTCCTATTACTGGGTTGCTTAACCCATAATGTTAATGGCTACAAGTACGACCCGGACTATGTCGACTTCAACCTCAACACAAATAAGGATGCGCAAGATCCTATACAATATGACGGAAAATGGGAGAACCACGACTTCCACCCGTCACCAGACAACTGGCGGTTTCCCTTTTACACTATCATGCTCGACCGCTTCGTAAATGGCGACCCAGCAAACGATAACGCAAACGGAACCGTCCTCGAGCAGGATATCACGGGCACGCAGCTGCGATTTGGTGGTGACATCGCCGGTTTGGTGGACACGCTGGATTACCTCCAGGGAATGGGCATCGAGGGATTGTATTTCGGAGGATCTATGCTCATCAACGCGCCCTGGAACTACGATAACTACTCTCCTTTGGACCACACCCTTCTGGATTTCCACTTTGGCAACATCACGATATGGAGAACCGCGATCGAGGAAATCCACAAGCGTGGAATGGTAAGTTTCCACGATGATGGAGGAAGATTCCGGACGGGACATGTCGTAAGCTGACCTATCGGAATAGTACATCGTCTTCGACAACACGGTCGCGACACTGGGTGACTTGATCGGTTATAAGGAATACCTCAACTCCACGGCGCCGTTCGAGCCCCACGAGATGGAGGCCATCTACAAGACCGACCGACACTACTTGGACTGGACTTTCCCGACCGGATACAACAAGACTTGCGAAAACTTCCCGAGACTGTACTATGAGTCCGGTTACGAGGTCGGCGAGGAGGTTTACGGCATGTTCGAGGGCTGCTACGATGGTGACTTCGACCAGTTCGGTGACACAGAGGCTTTCGGCGTTTACCCGGATTACCGTCGTCAGTTGACCAAATTCGCTTCCGTCCAGGACAGATTGAGAGAATGGGTCCCCGCCGTCAACCAGAAGCTCGGTCACTTCTCCTGCATGCTGATCAAGATGTGAGTTCGAGAAATGTTCGCGAGGAAACTTGGCAGAAAACTGACAAATGACTGCAGGTTGGACATTGATGGCTTCAGATACGACAAGGCGCTGCAAGTTACGGTCGATGCCCAGGGTGAATTCTCCAAGATGATGCGTGACTGCGCCAGCGACCTTGGCAAGAAGAACTTCTTCCTTCCTGGTGAGATTACAGGTGGTAACACCATGGGTTCCATCTACATCGGTCGCGGACGCCACCCGGAGCAGTGGTTCAAGGACATCAACACCGCCTACAGCACGAACGAAACCGTCGCAGAGGACCAGGACATCTTCATCCGCGACAAGGGCCACCAGGCCTTGGATTCGGCCGCCTTCCACTACTCCTTCTACCGTTTCCTGGTCATCTTCATGGGTATGGACGGTACTGGTGTCGCCGGATACGATGTGCCCAGTAACTTCGTCGAGGCCTGGAACGAGGTCCTCCGAGCCAACGATCTGATCAACGCCAACACTGGCGAAGTCGACCCCCGTCACATGTACGGCGCCATGAACCAGGATACCTTCCGCTGGCCCGCCATCGAACTCGGCCACGAGCGCAGTCTGATGGGTCTTTTCGTCACGACGCTTCACCTGCCCGGAATTCCCATGCTCACCTGGGGCGAGGAACAGGGCTACTACGTGCTCGACAACACCGCGCAGAACTACATGTTCGGTCGTCAACCTCTGTCTTCCGCCCCCGCCTGGCAGCAGCACGGATGCTACTCCATGCCTGCTACCCTCTACTTCCAGATGCCTCTTTCGAACGCGCGCGAGGGCTGCCGCGATGACACCGTTTCTTGGGATCACCGCGATCCCGCTCACCCCATGAGACTCGTCCTCAAGCACATGTACACCATGAGAAAGGAGTACCCTGTTCTTCAGGACGGCATGTGGCTGGTTCAGCTGTCAAACCACACCGAGGAGCTCTTCTACCCCGGTAACTCCGGAATGGCCACTGTGACCGGTCTTTTCAGCGTCATGCGCTACCAGCTCGGTGTCCAAGACATGGGTGAAGACCTCGTCCCCGTCTGGTTCCTGTACAACAACTGGAACGTCACCAAGTCGTGGACCTTCGACTGCACCAACGAGGATGAGGCTCTGATCTCTCCCTTCGAGGATGGAACCACCGTCAAGAACCTGTTCTTCCCCCACGACGAGATCAAGCTCGAGGCCTCCCCCAAGAAGCTCGGCTACGCCGGCAACACGGGCTTCAACGGCTGCACCAAGAACATCACCATGGCTCCCTTCGAGTTCCGCGCCTACGTCCCGAAGGCCGACTTCAAGAACCCCCCCGTCATGCTCACCAAGTTCAGCCCCGGCCACGACTACCGCATCCTGGCCAACGACACCAGCAGCACCGTTCCCATCGAGTTCCAGTCCAACGCCGAGCTGGACTGCGAGAAGTTCAAGGGCTTTGTCACCTTCAGGGCCCACACCGACGACAACAGCGTTCCCTCTATTGACGAGAGCTCCATCAAGTGCTCCAACATTTCCGAGCGCCCGCAAGAGTGGACCGGTGTTTTGCCCTCTGTTTGGTCGTGGAAGGCCAACCTCATCAACGTCAAGCACGGTGTCCACGAGGTGACTGTCTCCAATGCCACCACCGCTACTGGAAACTCGACCACCGGCGCAACTGATCACTTCTTCTTCCGCATCGGCGCGGCCGAGAACCCGATCGTGTTCCCCGCGACCGCCAACTACTCCACTACGCTGCTCTCCCAGGACGACGACGGCACCCTCAGAATCAAGCACAGCGCCGCCGGTGCCTCCAAGTTCCGCTACTCGACCAACTTCGAGTCCTCCTGGAGCGACTGGGTCAACTACGAGACCGAGACAAAGGTTGTGAAGCAGGAGTGGAACGGAACCAAGGAGCAAGAGTGGGACGGAGAGCACATCATCGTCCAGTACTGGTCCCAGATCCTCGGAACTAGCGCCTACAAGGTCCATGCTGATCTCGACTACGACATCCCCCGCCGCATCCCGCACATGTTCGCCGTCGGCAAGTTCAACCAGTTCGGTTACGACAGCGGTCTGACCAAGTCCCTGTCGCACAAGGCGGAGTCGCTTTGGCAGTGGCACTACATGGACGAGTGGCCCAACTACTTCAAGTTCAGCATCTGGGGCATGAACCCTGACAAGATGCCCGATCAGTCGTTCGTCTACGGTGACGTCGACGGCGACAGCGTCGTTGAGCGCCTGCCTCCCTCCTCGCTGTTCGAGAACGCCGTCAACATCACTTCCGCGCCGCCTAAGCCGTACCTCGCGTACAAGGTCATCCTCAACGACGCCACGCTGCAGTACCAGCTCATCCCTGTTGGCAGCATGTGGGTGCAGTTCTTCCTGTGGCTGTTCCTCTTCATCCTCCCCATCGTCGGTGGTCTCGCCGCCGTCCAGGCCTTCAAGCGTTCTTTCTACCAGGTCAAGTTCAACGAGACCGGTGTTGGTGCCCAGTCAAAGTTTGGCCAGATTGTCGAGAAGACCCGCAACGTTTTCATCGGCGCCGCTGGTGCCATCCCTCTCAAGATGAACAGCTCGACCGACCTCGTTTCTGCCGCTGCGGCTGCCACCACTGCCAACAAGCGCCGCAGGGTGCTGATTGCCACCATGGAGTACAACATCGATGACTGGAACATCAAGATCAAAATTGGTGGTCTGGGTGTCATGGCCCAGTTGATGGGTAAGGCGCTCAAGCACCAGGACCTCGTTTGGGTCGTTCCCTGCGTCGGTGATGTCGAGTATCCCGAGGACCAGCCCGCTCCCAGCATGTTCGTCAAGATTATGGACCAGATGTACGAGATCAAGGTTCAGTACCACATTGTCGATAACATCACCTATGTTCTGCTGGACGCTCCTGTTTTCCGCAAGCAGACCAAGTCTGAGCCCTACCCCCCTCGCATGGACGATTTGGAGTCTGCCATCTACTACTCTGCATGGTAAGTTGAAAACCTCATTTGATCGCTTTCAACACGTACTGACATGAATTCAGGAACCAATGTATTGCCGAGGCAACCAACCGTTTCCCCATCGATCTTTACCACATTAACGATTACCACGGAACCATCGCACCGCTCTACCTGCTCCCCAAGACTATCCCCGTTGCTGTGTCCCTCCACAATGCCGAGTTCCAGGGTCTCTGGCCCATGCGCACACCCGAGGAGAGCAAGGAGGTTTCTAAGGCGTACAACTTGGATCTTGAGATCATCAAGAAGTACGTCCAGTACGGTTCAGGTAAGCATGCATTCGCCGCCGCGAGTCACGAATCAGACTCCTAACATCACGCAGTTTTCAACCTTCTCCACGCTTCCGCCAGTTACCTCCGCATCCACCAGAACGGCTTCGGCGCTGTCGGTGTCTCCAAGAAGTACGGTGACCGTTCGTTCGCCCGTTACCCTATCTTCTGGGGTCTCTCCAAGATCGGCCAGCTGCCCAACCCCGACCCTACGGATACCGCCGACTGGGACAAGGAGGATTTCATGAAGCAGAAGAAGCCCGAGGTCGACCCCGCGTGGGAAGCCAGCCGTGGTGACCTCCGTAGACAGGCTCAGGAATGGGCCGGTCTGAAGGTCGACCCTGAAGCCGAGCTTTTCGTTTTCGTCGGTCGTTGGTCTCTGCAAAAGGGCGTAAGTCATGAATCGGTCCACTGGCTCGAAAACATTGCTGACGTTTTCTAGGTTGATCTTATTGCTGACGTGTTCCCCTCTGTCCTCGAAACCAACCCCAAGGTTCAACTGATTACTATCGGTCCCGTTATTGATCTCTACGGCAAGTTCGCCGCCTTGAAGTTGAGCAAGCTCATGGAACTTTACCCCGGACGTGTCTTCTCCAAGCCTGAGTTTACTGCTCTCCCGCCCTACATCTTCAGTGGTGCCGAGTTCGCCTTGATCCCCTCTAGAGATGAGCCTTTCGGTTTGGTCGCTGTTGAATTCGGAAGAAAGGGAGCCCTGGGTGTCGGTGCCCGTGTCGGTGGTCTCGGTCAAATGCCCGGATGGTGGTTCACGGTCGAATCGACCAAGGCTGTAAGTCAACAATCATTTCGTCTATCCACCCACAAGCCGCTAACAAGCTTCACAGGCCCATCTTACCAAGCAGTTCAGACACGCCATCCAGTCTGCTCTCAAGGCCGATACCAAAACTCGTGCCGAGATGCGTGCCTACTCCGCAAAGCAACGTTTCCCTGTCGCCGAGTGGCTCGAGAAGCTCGAAAAGCTCCAGGCTGGCTGCATCAAGTCTCACGCCAAGTACGGTAAGAAGGGTCTCGGCAAGGGTAACGTCCTCGTCAAGCGCAGCCGCGCCAGCTCCAACGTCGGCCTCCGCGAGGAGGTCGAGCTCGTCGACCGCTCCCCCGCCTGGATGAGACAAGTCTCCGACTACGACGATGATGCCACCACTCTCAACACCGGACGCAACACCCCCGCTGGCATGCAGACTCCTCACGGTTACTACTCTAGCACCCCCGGATCGCCCATCATCTCGCCTTCTCCCGCATATGTCGACTCTCCCGGTGGCTCTCGCGCTGCTTCACCTGGCCCTCACAGCCGCAACATCTCTGGCAACGAGCTTACTCACTCTCGCAACTACTCTGGTTTCTCCACTCACGATGTCAACAACCACAGCCGCAACGTCTCCGGTTTCTCCATGGCTGACACGCTTCCTCTGCCTCCCCCAGGCGGTGCTCTGGGTATCCACGACAACTCTTCCCGTGCTTCCATGCTTAGTGTTGAGGACGTCGTCGGTGACCGCCATGACTACAAGCTCCAACAGGTCGACCCCTTCTTCACCGACCAAAAGGGCGAGTTCTACCAGGAATTCGAGGAGAGACTCAAGAACCTCAACGCGCAAAACTCCATTTCTGATCTCTGTATCGAGGACTACCTGATGAAGAGTGAAAAGGAGTGGTTCGACATGTACCTCGACGCCAGGCTGGGTCGTCCTTCGCGCCCCTCGTCTCCCTCCGGCTCCGGACGACGATCCATGTCTAGAACCCGCTCCCCGTCCAGATCCCCTCTCGGCATGCTCAAGAACCTGTCCAGCTCCAAGCTTAGCTTGCCCATGGAGCGCGGCCGCGCTGCCAGACGTTCCAACCTGATGAACAGCACCAACGCAGATGGCTACGGTGACCAGACTCCTCCCGATTCCCCCGGCTATGACCGCGCCCAGTTCGCCCTTCCCGACGACTACGTTCCCCCTACTGGTGTCAAGAAGTAGGTTCTCATCTTTCCCTCACCCCGTATCATAACTAACTTCACCCAGGTACCTCCAGTACAAGGTCGGCGATTGGCCCGTCTACGCGATGCTTCTGGCCCTCAACCAGGTCATCGCCACCAACTCCTACCAGGTCACCCTTCTCACTGGCGAGGTCGGCCAGACGGCTTCCAAGCTCTACGTCATCGCCTCCATCTACCTTTTTGGCTCTCTCGTTTGGTACACGCTTTCCCGCACTGTTCCTCTTCTGTACCCGCTCTCGGTGCCTTATATCGTCTACGGTATCGCCTTCCTGATCCTCGGCTGCTCCCCCTTCGCCGCGGACAACAACACACAGGTCTGGCTCCAGAACGCCGCCACCGGCATCTACGCCTTTGCCTCCGCCTCCGGATCTCTCGCGTTCGCCTTCAACTTCGGTACCGACGGTGGCTCTACCGTCCCCAAGTGGATCCAGCGTCTTGCCATCATCCAGGGCTTGACCCAGCTGTACACTCTCGGTCTCTGGGCATGGGGTTCTCTCGTCTCCGACGCCGAGGCCAACTCTCAGCCCAAGCCCACTCTCGCCGGCTCTCCCGCCCTCCTCGGCATCTGTCTCCCCGTGTGCCTGCTCCTGTGGGCCATCGGCGTGCTCCTCTACCTCGGTCTACCCGATTTCTACCGCGAGTCCCCGGGTCCCGTGCCCAAGTTGTGGGCGTCCCTCGTCAGGCGTAAGACCATCGCCTGGTACCTCCTCGCCGTCGCCATCCAGAACTACTTCCTTTCCCCGCTCTTCGGCCGCAACTGGTTCTTCCTCTTCTCGTCCCAGCACGTGCCCGTCTGGAGCATGGTCATCCTCGCCCTCTTCTTCTTCATCTTCGTCTGGGCCTTCGTCCTCTGGGGCCTGGCCAAGGCCAGTGCCAGCCATCCCTGGCTGTTCCCCATGTTCGCCGTCGGTCTCGGTGCTCCCCGCTGGGCCCAGATCTGGTGGGGTACCTCCCGCATCGGCGTCTGGATGCCTTGGGCCGGCGGCGCCGTCGCAGGTGCCGTCCTCAGCCGTATCCTCTGGCTCTGGCTCGGTGTCCTCGACGGTCTCCAGGGCGCGGGTATCGGTATGATTCTCATGCTGACGCTCACCCGTGTCCACGTCGCGGCCGCCTGTGCCGCGGCGCAGGTCGTCGGATCAATCTTCACCATGCTCGCGCGTGCGACGGCGCCCAACAACGTCGGTCCCGGGCCCGTATTCCCCGACGTCAGCGAGGGTGTCGGCGTGGCGCTTGCGAGCGCGTGGTTCTGGGTGGTTCTGTTGTTGAACCTGTTTATCTGCATTGGTTACTTCAAGTTCTTTAGAAAGGAACAGGTTAGCAAGCCTTAAAGGGAAGGGGATATATACCACAAGGCTATGATTGTGCTTTTCTGGGATTAGACATGGATAGAAAGTTTTTGTTTGTTTTGGGTAGCATATGATCCTCAGTAATGACCACACACTTACTACTGTTAATAGAGATAATGAACAATTAGATATCTCTCAATATGTTTCCTCCGTCTCGGTGAAAGTGAAGTCTGCCCTCATGTAACAACTCAATACCATCCTAGCAGCAACTGCCTAACAATTCGATGGGTTGACTGTAGCAAGCCTACTCAAAACATGGATAGGAGAGCCTGGATTCTGCACGCCGGGATTGGGGATCGCATCTAGGTTGAAGGACAGCTTGACGTTGGGCCCAAAGATGAGGCAGTGAGTTGAGCCGCCGAAGTGGAAGCGCCCAATCTTGTCTCCCTTCTTGAAGCCGTTTGGCTTATCGAAAAAGTCAACAGAGGAAACCTCAGCCATGCCAATCATGACTACAGCCATCAGGCCGATGTCAGGGTTGTCCGCCTGGATGTAGGCAACGCCACGCTTGGCAACCGCGGAGATGTAGCTTTGTGATAGCGCGTCGGCGCCGATGTCCGGATGTGCTATTCCCTTGTCCGGGCTGAACCCCCACATGAGAGGCTCTGAGTAATATGCGCCATTGATGATCTTGGGGCATTCTGTATATGAGCCAGAAACGGGAGCATGCCAATTGTGGTAGCTATCCGCGCTCAGAAATGCCTGATAAACAGTACCTCCGACGAATTGCTGGGCCTTTCCCTCGTCGCCGAGCATATCCGCGAGGCTGTAGTTTGATCGGCCGTCGGGGTTCTTCACCCAAAAGGTGTCTCGAAGCTGGACGTTTCTCCGGATGTAGAAAGGAGTTGATTCGGTGGCACTGACGATGACATTATCATCGTGAGGACAAGCGAGCGGTCGGAGGCCATGCTTGAAGTCGCGGGTGAAGAATTGATCCCAGGAAGTAAAGCCGTAATGAATCGGGTCTTTGGGATCAGGAACGATGTAGGTGTCCAAAAAGTTGCTCAGCCCAGCCTCCTGGATCTGGGCATCTTGCGATAGCCAACCTCCTGCGTCGGTCGTCACGGGCTGAACTGACTCCCGCGTTTTGAGATAGTGGCCCCAGTATTCCAGCATATGTTTGAATACCTCGTTAACATCGTCCCGAATGAATGCGGCGAAACCAGCCTTTGTAGCCATAGGCCAGTCTAATATGGCGTTGATAGGGGTGCCGATCTGAGGGGAGTCGTTATACAAGATTGGATGTTGAATCTGGTAGTTCAGTGCTTGTATGAGTGTCTCAAGGTCTCTGATTTCTGGGCCGCCACCCGGGATGGTGTTGTACGGAGGCCTTGTCGGCACCTCGGTCAACATCTCTGTAAAGAGCATGAAGACATTGGGGTTCTTTCTAAGAAGTTCCCGGAGCTCTTTGATGGGCGGGGCATCGGGCAAATTTGCATTCTTCGCCCGTCTAAGGATTTCCTTAACATGGTCTTGAACCGATTTAGGATCATGGGGCAACCATCCACCGATTCGGTGTGCTAGAGACGGACTGGGAACGCGTCCAACTCTCGCTTCTTTGGACTGAATAGCCATGATGATAGGATCTGATGAAAAGGGTGAAGAGAATGAACTGGCTTCAGGTGTCTGAGATAATCTGGAAAGCAGGCATCATGTACCGGGGCAAGAATTCTCACTTTTATATGCCAGGGGTCAGCCATTATTGAGCCAACAACACTCTATGCTATCACAGCATCATCGTCGGTTTCGGTTGAGTTGATTCACACTGGTGGCCCGGTGTGGTAACTTGGTCTGAGTAGAAAAGTGTGCAGAAGTAGCATGATACGACTCACCTTAGCCATACATGCCGTTTTCGGTCCAAGTGCACTAACAGCGCAAGCTTCCCCCCTCGCAACAGGCACTCCATCGTCTCAAAATCATACCCTCGAACGATTGAATGCCTCAAAGTAGGAGGGTTACCGTCTACATTGCCCGACATTCGCGGGGTTGAAACTTCCAGCCGAGTCCAGAACGCGACAGGAGCGTGGCTTAGAAATCAACTGCCGGCAATCGGGGTGATACCGTTCTGCCGATATCGTTTTCGTCCACGTGGTTCTAGTTTGGTTGCTGAATGCGGCAGTCAAATATCAGCCGCACGCCACGCAGAACACCGGTAGTTAAGGTGCTGTGAGAGATCGTTCCGGCCCGACCCTAAATTGAAGGTGTAAGACATACCGTCTTCAGCGCGGGCCAGAACCTGAACGGGTCCATCTCATCGCCTTGCAAAAGCAGCAAGAGGGCTGGTTTCTCCTCATGCTCTATGAAATAAGGTAAACCATGAGCATTGAGTGAGTTTCTTCTCTCTGGGCGACATCAAGTCTCGGTCTACACCGGTGAAGTGCCCAAAATCGCGCCCAGACACTTCTGCGAGAACCAACACGCGATGGTTACATGTTAACATCAATATATTTTGCCTCGAACCTTTGTACTGTTTTTCTCCAAGCCAAGACACTCTCATCATTTTCCCTCACTTCAACAAGTGCCCCTCCGTGTCGGCACCCTGCGGCCTCTTCCAGTGCACCGGCAGCTCCCCCCAGCTCTCCTCATTATACTTCTCCTGCACCTTCTGACACGTCCTCAGCCCCCACTCCGTCACCCCGACCATCGCACAGCTCTCGAACATGAACGCGCAGCTGCCCGCGCCCACCTTGGCCGGCTTCAGCTCCGCATTCCTGGCCCCCTCGCCGCTCTCCGCGTCGGGACCGTGCCCGCTCATCGTGTTGTGCAAGCTCGCGCCGCCAGGCACGAACCCACCGGAGCCCCCGCGCTTCGCATCGTACCCGCCCGTGATCAGGCCCATGAACTCCGACATGGTGTTGCGGTGGAAGTACGGCGGCCGGAACGTGTCCTCGGCCACCAGCCACCGCGGCGGGAAGATGACAAAGTCCGCGATCGCCGTGCCCGGCACCCCGCTCGGCGCCGAAAGCACCGTGAAGATGGACGGGTCCGGGTGGTCATACGAGACGGTCCCGATCGTGTTGAAGCGCCCAAGGTCGTACTTGTAGGGATAGTAGTTGCCGTGCCACGCTACCACGTCGAACGGGCTGTGCGCCTGCTCCGTCTTGAAGAAGTCGTTGTTGAACTTGACCCGCACCTCGTACTTGCTGGGTCCCTCGTGCGCTGTTGCCCCAAAGTCCTCGTCGAAGCACGCCACGGGAGCCTGGAAGTCCCGCGCGTTCGCCAGCCCGTTGGTGCCGATGGGCCCCAGCTCCGGCAGCACAAAGTGGCCCTGGTACAGCTCCAGCGCGTACCCCCTCGCGGGGCCACTCGGCAGGTGGACCTGGTACTTGATGCCTCTCGGGATGACGGCGATCTCGAGCGGGCGGACGAGCAGCCAGCCCAGCTCAGTGCGGATATCCAGCACGCCCTCCTGCGGGACGATGAGCAGGTCGCCGTCGGCGGAGTAGAAGGCGCTCTTGGTATCCATGCTGCGCCCGGCGGCGTAGACGTACATGCCGATGCCCTGCTTGAGGGTGGGGTCGCCCGCGCCGGCGACGAGCCGCATGCCCTCGACAAAGTCCCAGCTGCGCGCCTCGTCGTGGTCGAAGGGGTCCCAGCGCAGCTGGTTGGGGATATAGCGCAGCTTCGACGGCTCGGCCTTGGGTTCCGGGGTCGTGGTCGGCGCGTAGGGCGGGTGGGCGCACGAGGGCAGGATGCGGTAGAGCCAGGCTTGCTTCATGTCGTGGCGGGGCGCCGTGAAGGAGGTCCCGGAGAGCTTCTCGGCATAGAGGCCGTGGGGGGGCTTTTGCGGGGAGTTTTGGCCGATCGGGAGGGACCCGGGGACGGCTTCGGACCTGTGTGCGGAGAGAGGTTGCAGGTTAGCTACCGGGTTGGTCTCTTGATTGGGTGTCAGGCGATGGGGATACGCACTCGAGGTGGGAGTCGAAGCCGACCTGGTACCGGTACTTCTCCTTGAAATCAAATGTTGTGACGGGCATTGTGACGAACGGCTTCAAAGCAGCTATGTGTCGAAGCTTATAGTGGCCGATGTGATGGATTGTCGAAACAAAGACGCTGCATGGAACGAAAATCGGTCCATGGCTTAAGTTCTATATCACATCCCCTAACAGCGGCGGCGGAATAGGGTTACTCGCTTTGGATGACGTTGGATGGAATTGCGTCCCTCGCAAAGCCGACAGCTTGTTCTCGATTCCGCGGTCGTCGCAAGGACCGTAAAGTCGGCGTCAAGCGGCGTCTGCCGACGTTAGCCGGGGCTGCCGGATGTGGTGCTTCCTCACTAGGCCTTTCAATTCCGAATTTCCGCTGCCTTTTGGGGTTTGGGGGTTCAATTGCTCCAAGAGGGGGCCGTGCGACCTGGCCCCGTCTCACCCCGCGGCGGAGGAGGAGCCTGAGGGGAAATCGGCAGTATCCGTTCAGATCCGAAATGGAGACATTGCTGACTGATGACGGGGGAGATTGAGGGGTGCAGACGTTCGAGGTTTTGGACGAGGGAGACGGTCTATGCCGTAGACTGAGGCCATGGCTTTCCGGAGCTTGGGATCTTTGAGGTCCGGCACGGATTGTTTGGCTTGGCTCAGACAACAGCTGGAAGGGTACCACACTAACAGCATTATACATAAAGTAAGTGAGACCATGTTAACACAGCATCAATTACCCCGCCATTTGCGTCACCATATGAGGGGTCAACGGTGAGTGATCACGGAAAGTCACAGCTGGGGCTGGATGCTCACGCAAATTTTAGAGTTGCAGAAGAAGCTGAGGTTTGGCCATTTGAAGCTTCGAGAATAGCATACTTGATCATCTACAAAGTATTCAACCTAAATAGATCAATCCTCAGCCCGCTCGGACGGCAGACCCTAGTTCCCCGGGGAGTGGGTCACGATGCAGGACAGCCGGTGCACAGCTCCCTCATATCCACCCACCATTGACTACATGCCTTTCTCGACGCTGACGAGATCAGGGGGAGATGGTCTCTTTGCAATAACTCAGAATTCAGACATACATACACCCAAGTCACAAGCGAATGAGAATGTCATGACTGTCAACGTGTCTATTCAAGCGAACCAAGGCTGTTACCACCTCGAGCCCGCCGAAGCACCGTCGACGTCCCGGGATTTCCTAGCTAATACACCTCGAGGCTCCGAGCCTGAGAGAAGAGATCCGAACCGATGAACCCATCCGACGATATCTATCGCAATATCCCATTGCGCCAAGTCGCCATACGAGCCAGAGCGAAGCAAGCCAGTGTTGTGATCAGGAAGTATTGGACAAGATACGGGAAAGTGGCGTGGGATTCATTACTCCTCGTCCTTCTTGTTCTTCTTCTTCTTGCCGCCGCTGGACATTGCCTGTGTCGAGTTGGGTGACAGGTGGACCACGAGGCGGGTCCATGACTCCTCCTTGTCCCACTCGAAGCCCATCAGGTAGGGCTTGTCAAGCTCATCGTCGGACTGTGGGTGCTGTCAGTGGTGTTTGTCAAAGGGATGCTGCGGGGTAATGGCTCACCCTCTTCTTGTATGCCTTGTGGATGGCGTCCATGGCGTCCTTGATTGTGACGCCCTTCAGGTTCCTTGCTGTTACTTCCATGCCGAGAGGGAAGTGCAGGTCAATTCTCTTGACTGGGGGTTCTGTCAGGTGCTTCTTGAGGATCTCCTTCTCCTCTATTGTTGAGGGGGAGGTGTTGATCTTCCTGTTCGGGTACTGTCAGCCATTGTTGCAGGCGTAGTTGTCTACGTGAGAGACACGATTATGATAAGGTGTCACTTACCATCCTGTCTTCTGTGTCTCGATAGCTATTTGAAGATCAATGCCTTCTGCCTCTGTATAGGAAGATGACAAGTTAGCAGTGCTCCGAGGTACCCGAGCGAGTGCGGGGTCATGGGAGAGGGGTGGTTTCGGGGCAATGACATACCAAGGTCGTTGACGTTCTTGACGCCAGGAGCGGCGGCAGAGCTCTGTCTGCGCTTCTCCTTGGGAGGGGAGGTGGCGAGGCCCTGGACGGCAGAGTCGACTTTGGAAAGTGGTTCCGACATGATGGTGTTGTGTTTGTGGTGTGACTAGATCTAGATGATCGAGTGATTGTATCTGGCAACAGGTTTCAAGTAAGCTCCTGAGCTGTGTATCTCGCGTGACAGGTTAAGCTCGTGTGCAGGACGGGAGCTCTTGACTGTCCAAGGAGGGGGAGGAAGGGGTACCTTTGGAAGCTGGTTGGTTTAATGGATGGAAGGTTGGTTGATGAGTGGGATGAGGACGAGAATAAGAAGGAAAGGAAGATGAGGGGGAGGGACGAGGTAGATAGATGTCGATCGGGACGGGGCGCCTGACCTGACCTGGCTGTGCCCTGGATGAGACTGGCCGTGCTTGAGCTGGTGCTTGGAGCAGGAGCTGGCGTGAGGAGAGGGGAAACATCCATTGTCCAGGGCTGGTCCCGTCTGGTAAGGTGAGGTAAGGTGCCTTGGTTGGAGGAGCAGTGGTCAATGGCCAATGGTCAATGGCCTGTCACTGCAGTGCGTGAGTGCGTAGTCGGTCCATGTTCCCCCATGGACGAGTCGGGTGTCGAGGCAGAGAGCTCCCTGCATCGGCCGTCGCCTGGCTGAATGGCTGGTGCAGGAACATTGAGTGACGGCGGCGTGTGTAAGAGAAGAGAGGTACCACAGCTAGCAGCTAAGATTGATGATGCATTACGGTTTCGTCAGACCGGGCGGGGTAACTGCCCATCAATGGCGCCGCCAGACGATCGCGTGACTGGGAAGCTCATGAGATGCGCGGGCGACCTGAGGCGAGGGGAAGGGAAGGCACGGGCGTCGAGGGCGGGCCACCCGTCACCTGCCACCACAGCTGCAGGGGAAGAAGTGACATTCCACCTACCTAGGTAGGTATTACTAAGGTAAGGTTCCGTATCTACCCTAGGTGCCTTAGGAAAGGAGGAAAGCAGAAGGAAGGAGCTACCGAAGCTGCCAGGGAAAGTACCTGCCTCCGCCAATGTTGCTGTTGCAGCAGGAGCACAGGAGCAGGAGCAGGAGCAGCAAAAGCAGGAGCAATGACTGATTGTCCTCTGCTACTGCCGTAGACAGGAGACATGGAAGAGTGGTCTGGTTGGCTGATCATCCGAAACGGGCATGGCGCGTCATGGAGCAGAGGACCCTCTTGCCCAGGCGTGGTCACTGCAGCTGCTCTCGTGTGGAAAGTGGAAAGAGGGGACCGGGAAGCTGCGATGGGCGCAGGGGCGGCAGTCGGCGTGGGATGTGTGTGAGCTGGTACAGGTACAGGTGCAGGTGCAGGTGCAGACACCGCCTGGCGCCATCGTCCAAGGTCCACGGGTCGACGATGAATCGGCTTTAGTGCGGTCTCCGACACGGGAGAAGAGTCTGGGGTAAAAATCTGGGGAAGCAGCAGGAGCCCCACCCTGACGGCCCTATGACGCTATGCCGTTTGCTGGCTGAACTGCTTCTGCCCGTCGTGTCAGTCTTGACACTTGAGTTTACTGAGCTGGAAGTGTGTGTGCTTGTGTGGGAGGGCAGGGGAAGGGAAGGGGAGGGGAGGGGAGGGGAGGGGGAGAGGAGGCATCTCGAGATCCATCTTGGTGTCTCTTTCTTGGAAGATTCGAATGCAAGATCTCGCTCCCGACCGAGAAACAGCTCAGCACAGCTCAGCACAGCTTAGCTCAGGGGGAAGGTAGGGTCGGCGTTTGTCACTGCCCATCGGTGCAGCGAGCCCTGAACCGGTTTCCGCAGCGCATTACGGATAGTGGAGCTGCACCTGGCGACCGCAACACTGAACGGGTCACGCCGTGCCAGTGGAACCACAAAACAGCAGACGGGCTCGCGCCTCACCTGATGCCTCCTTCCGATTGAGACACCAGACAACCAAACAAATTGGACCACTGCAATAAGGAAACTGCGGTGCGCATAACGTGATTTCTCGTCCAGCATCCCTCACCACTCTCCCTCAACCATGTCTGATCTGCCGAGCCACCAGAGTGTCACTACTGGAGTTTGTTTGCGAGGGATGGCCCGGATGAGCAACTGATTGGCGATCCGCCTGAAGCCCCTCACTCAGCGCGCAAATCAGCCCAAAGCCACCTCAGACACACCACAGTGACCACACGCAGGCCACCTCTGATCGACCACCACCAGAGAAGCTCACACCACCCCGTCCATCGTCCGACTCCATATAAGCCACGCGGATCCCTACTCACCTTCCCGGCACCCCGTCGCGCGACAATCCTCAGCGGAGCTCTTCGAAAATGATTTCCAGCATCTCGCCTTGATTTCGTTTGTCTTGTTCTAACATCGCCCGTCCGTCCACGATGCATCGCGCACACACGCCCGTCCACCACCCCAACCGCCATCACGAACCGCCCCCATGATGAAGCCACCTCGGCATGCACACCTCGTTGACGAAGTCGTTACACCTCTCCCCCGGCTGCAGCAACACGCCAAACACCACACAAACATGTCATGCCATGTCGCCACGTCCCCACATTCCCGCCGTAATTAGTGCAGCACCAGTACCAACACCCAGCACCTCCAGTTCCGTCTCGTCCCTCGCGCGCCCTGTCGGCATTCGCATTCCACCTCCCCGCTTTCGCTTCCGATGTGTCCGCTTCGCCTGCGCCTGTCCCGCATGTCCCGTCCGTTTCTGCGCTTGTCTCTACGCTACGCCAGTGATTCCCGTCCGGCATGGGTCATGAAAGAAACGCGTCTTCGAGCTCCCGATCGATTTCCTGTTCTAGCCTGCGTCCAACATGATAGAGTCCAAGTCTCTCAATTACCTGCGTTGCGTCTTTGCTTTTGATCGATTGCACACTTGCTGAAAGGTAAGTCTGGTGGAAACCCTCCGCTAATGGCCCAGTTGGACCCTCAACGTCCCGGCCAAACCGGTCTCAACGCATGAATACGCTCGCGACACGGCGATTAATCGAAGCACGGCATGATCCACCCGGATTCTCGGCGACCTGCGCATTGCATCCCCCGCA